GCTACTCATAAGTTAGGGAATCCTATAGAACTGAAATATTTTAAACGTCTTTCTTCTACTAGGACTGATTGTATGATACGTATAAATTAGGACATTCTGTAGAACTGAAATATTTTAAACGTCTTTCTTCTACTAGGACTGATTGTATGATACGTATAAATTAGGACATTCTGTAGAACTGAAATATTTTAAACGTCTATCTTCTACTAGGACTGATTGTATGATACGTATAAATTAGGACATTCTGTAGAACTGAAATATTTTAAACGTCTATCTTCTACTAGGACTGATTGTATGATACGTATAAATTAGGACATTCTGTAGAACTGAAATATTTTAAAAGTATTTCATTACTGCTTACAAAACAGATTTTCTTTACTTATAGAACATTTTTAATATTACGACAAGAATCTAAGTAAGCATTATAGAACATTTTTAATATTATGACAAGAATCTAAGTAAGCAGTCACTGTTTTCAATTGTGACATTTTTTTGTCATTATAAAATTAACTCGAATCCAGCATCTTGGTACAAAATGCGGAATAGTTTTACAAACAAGGAGCTAAATAAATAATTAAATGAAACGTTTGATTGAAATTTTATTTTAGCAGTAAGATAGATTAACTGTGCTGTTGTATAGTTATCTGTAGCCAGGGTTTATATGAACCCCATTGGTCGATATCACCAGCCCGTATCAACCTGCATTATCGTACAAACCTAACACTGAGCTAAGAAAAAATGTTAGGACTAATACAAAATTTTTTTAATTACAATTACAAACAAGCTAGTAGATTTTCTTTAGGTAAATCGGGGGGGGGGGGGGGGACTAACTATCTATTCTTCAACTATACGTGAACTGTTTTATCTCAAACTCAAAGAATTGGCTATCTGAGCTCTGCCCACAGCACGGGGATCTAACCCCAGTTTTTAATGTTGGAAGTCCATAAACTTCTCTTAGAGGTACTTCTCTAAGTCACTTGTAATATTTCTAACTAGCATCAACTTCATTATCGAGAATGGAAGAAGGTGATTTAACATTAAATCGTTGTTTTTTTTAATGAATCTCAAAAAAAGGGGACCGGCGATTTGTGTCCCCTGAAGGTTTGATAATTGAATTGTTCTTTATTGTAGTAAAAAATGCTTTTCATTATTGTATAATTTATTTACGAACAGAGTAGCCCATCCAGTGGCTCAGCGGTAGGTCTGCAGGCTTACCACCATAAGAATCAAGTTTCAATACCAGTGGTGGGCAAAGGATAGATAGCCCATGGTGTACCTTTGTGATTAACTAAACGAATAGAGTAAATCAAAGCGAATAGACTATTTGAATTAAATCAAAATATTTATGATATATCTAAAGAAATCATGAAATTCAACTGAAAAACAAACTCAATTGAAGAATGTTTTTTTTTTCGTGTTAGGATATTGTACTGTGGGAAATTAGTTTTTATTTTAAAGACGAACACTGAAGTAAGCCTACTTTTTTTCATTGAAGTAAGCCTACTTTTCTTCATTGAAGTAAGCCTACTTTTTTTCATTGAAGTAAGCCTACTTTTCTTCATTGAAGTAAGCCTACTTTTCTTCAGTCTTCAAGTAAAAGGAAGCATAAAATGAGAGAGAATGGAGCATGTAAGAAAAAGTAATTGCATAGTATCTTCATTTTCAATACCACGCGGATGAAAGGATGAGCGGGTGGGTTGATAATAAATGTTTTAGCCTAGAATACATATCCAATAATGTATATGAAAGGACAGTCATATATATACTGATGTGATCTCATAGTTAAGGGTTAAAGGTATATAATTAATTATAAAACTTTCTTTTTTCTGCTTCTTGCTGTATCCATCTTCTGTCAAACATAAAAGATTGGCTGTTCTATACACGAAGAATAAACCAACTGTTCTGGTTTGAGAATACTTACAACGAAGCTAATCATGCCTACTTGCATGCTTTATTAAAAGGATAGTTTCGTTTTAAAGGATCATCACAACGCTCACTTTACGAAACGGAAGATTATTGCACACACTCTCTCAAAGTGAAAGCGGACAACTACCAGTTTTTCAAGTGAAGTAAACCAGAAATGTTTAGTACTTTTAAAGGATCATCGCAACGCTCACTTCACGAAACGGAAGATTATTGCACACATTCTATCAAAGTGTAAGCGCACAACTACCAGTTTTTCAAGTGAAGTAAACCAGAAATGTTTAGTACTTTTAAAGGATCATCGCAACGCTCACTTCACGAAACGGAATATTATTGTACACATTCTATCAAAGTGTAAGCGCACAACTACCAGTTTTTCAAGTGAATAAACCAGAAATGTTTAGTACTTTCTTGTTTTCAGAGTTCTACCAAATTGCCTATTATTCATTTGTATTTGAAAAATTCTAGCTTTTAATACCTTGGTATTATAACAAGTTACATTTAAGTATGTTACCATCTTTTAAATATATGGTTAACGCACCACCACCGGACAGAAGGTAAACCAGTGTTGAAATCCTGGAATGCGTGCTCGTTTCAACTTACGAAAATTATCATTTTGAGCTTAACCATTTTGAAAAATTTGGAATGTGTCCTAGATTTCAAGCTTAATTATTCCACAAAATTTGGAATGTATCCTAGATTTAAAGCTTAATCATTCGGCAAAATTTAGAATGTGTCCTAGATTTCAAGCTTAATCATTCGGCAAAATTTAGAATGTATCCAATTCTCAGATTTGCGGAATGATTAAGCTTAAAATCCAGGATACGTTCTAAATTTTGCGGAATGACTAAGCTTTAAATCGAGGATACATTCTAAATTTTGCGGAATGATTAAACTTTAAATCCAGGATACATTCTAAATTTTGTGGAATGATTAAACTTTAAATCCAGGATACATTCTAAATTTTGCGGAATGATTAAGCTTAAAATCCAGGATACATTCTAAATTTTGCCGAATGATTAAGCTTAAAATCCAGGATACATTCTAAATTTTGCGGAATGATTAAGCTTAAAATCCAGGATACATTCTAAATTTTGCGGAATGATTAAGCTTAAAATCCATATCCTGGATTTTAAGCTTAATCATTCCGCAAAATTTAGAATGTATCCTGGATTTTAAGCTTAATCATTCCACAAAAATGGGAATGTATCCTGGATTTTAGTGAGATTTTGAAACTTTCATAATGAGGTCTTAAACATGAAAGAAGGCCCCCTAGCAGAGAGCATCGTACTATCTTTCTCGCTATAAAAAACGCCGAAGTTCAGTTAGTAAGAAGATATCGTGACGGGAAATTTCATTGCAATATGAATTCAGTCGTGTTAGGCCACAAGATGAGGCGCTTGTAAAAGGCAAACACAAGATGATATGATTGCGAAGAGAGAGAAAGCGATCAAACATATACGGTCTATAACCATCGCCGCAAATTTCCACTCGGCAACGATGTCGTTTGCTTGTTCTTCTTCCTTCATTCGATTCGTTATAAACCGTAGTTCTTTCAAAATGGAATTCAGTTCTCGTTGTGCACTGACGCAAGTATGAACTGTCGAGGTTTCCTCGCTGGAGGACACCTGTAGGTAGCCGCTGGTACTATTTTGGAGTCTCAAGTCATCGTCAATGTCCAGAACGTTAGCGAGTAGGCTTCGCGAACACCTTTCGTTGAGTTCAAGTTCTTTGATTTTATTACCCGCTTGACTTTTCTTTTTATGTTCGTACTTACCGTACCGTCTCATTCTAAGAATCTTCGGAAGCCAAACAAGAAATAAAGACTTTATCTGCAAAGGAAGGTAGTTATTATTTCAATAAATAATTACTAAGAAAATACAATAGAAATATAATAATAATTTTTAAGAACAGATGACGTGCCAATGAAAACAGTTATATAACGAACAATCTCTCGTGCAAGCTCACAATAACTTATTTGGAGGATAAAACAATAAATAATATGAGAAATAAGCTTTAAGAATATCTTAATAATTTGTGAAAATGTTGCCAGCCTGATTTACTCTAAACTTTATGAACATCACGTTAAAATGCCAAAGAGACGTAAAACAGTTATTATTATTATTTTTTGATGTTGTTAATAAATCAAATATTAAAGTGCAGAGCTGATGTCTTGATAAATTCCACACATTTCCTGCAGACTTCCAGAAAAATCGATGACAATCTGTGTGAAATATCCTAACACTCTCCAAGCTCGTTAATAATTCATTTTACATGTAAACACCAGTATAAATGGCAGAAGCTGAACTGAGCAGTAATTACTACTGGAAAAAAAATTAAAATATTACAGCTAATTCTCTTCAAAAATATCCCTTCTACCTTTCTCCTTTTTAACGGTGTGACAAATATAAATAAATATATTCATTAAGGTAACAAAACTCAAATATATTTTTGCACTTAAAAGAGACAACCAAGTTTGATGTCATTGAGGTTCTGTCATTTAAGAATGTTGGTGATGATAAATGGTACACATACGTGTTATCAAGATGACGACCGAGAGTTGTCGATTTCCCTTCTGTATTTTTAATGACATCGATTGCACGAGCACCCTTGGTCACACGCAAGTCAATTACCACTAATTCACTTGAAAGGGAAACGGCCTGACAAACACATTACTTCACATAATTGGATTCTTAAGATGATCATCCAAGACAACAATGTGTTAACTAAGGACAGCTTACTAATATGTAGCAAATAAACGCGAACATCGTATGATGATCATCCAGGACAACAATGTGTTAACTAAGGCCGGCTTACTAATATGTAGCAAATAAACGCGAACATCGTATGTTTAAGAAGACTATTGGCCAGATCAGAGATAGTGTTGGTGTTGGAGAGGACGTGTGCGATCTGAAATCTTGTACTATGATTTAGTCAATGAACGCATCTGGGATAAGGAAATGTGAAGACATTATACTACTCACTAGTTGGCCAGAAAAAGGAAATAATAAAGATTAGAAATTAACGATTTACTGTGGTCGTTCGGAAGGAAGAGTTAAATTAACGACTTGCTGTGGTCGTTCGGAAGGAAGAGTTAAATTAACGACTTGCTGTGGTCGTTCGGAAGGAAGAGTTAAATTAACGACTTGCTGTGGTCGTTCGGAAGGAAGAGTTAAATTAACGACTTGCTGTGGTCGTTCGGAAGGAAGAGTTAAATTAACGATTTACTGTGGTCGTTCGGAAGGAAGAGTTAAATTAATGACTTGCTGTGGTCGTTCGGAAGGAGGCGTTATTTAGGCTTACGAGGGAATGCAATATTAGCTGTCAACCAATCATTTACTGTATTTTAAAGCAAACAAAAAGAGCTTATAACAACTAATTTTTCGGTAGAATGGCTGGTTTGTTTGGAAACACAAAGCTACACAATGGACAACCTGTGCCATCCCACTTCAGTTTTCGAAACCCGATTTTTAGTTTTTTAAGCTCCCAGACTTACGGCTGAGCAATCGGGAGGGGGTGGGGGGTTGTAGAAAAAAATATATGAGTAAGATTATTTAATAGCAAATAATTCCTTTTTGAATACCCCCCCCCCAGTGGCACAACGGTATGTCTGGGGACTTACAACGCTAGAAACTGGGTTTCGATACATTTGGTGGGCAGAGCACAGATAGCCCATTGTGTAGCTTTGTGCTTAACTCCAAACAAACAAACCCTCTTGAATAAGATGGAAATGCAATATATTAGTTGGCAGCAAATGACATATTAGTATACAAAATATAAGAATGATCTCCGTCAAGAAATTAGGCCAACAGGGTATGGACTCACCAAGATAAGACTTCAAGTCATATCTCCGGTTCAATAGTCGCATACCTTAAGCAGCTCGAAAATTAAACTGGAATTCATACTATTTCATACGACGACATACTGGACAAATTGCCAGATGCAGCGCATGTGGATTTCTGTACATAAAAATCGGACTTTTTAAACGAGCGATGAGAAAAGGTCGTCCTCGTACATTTAATGAATTATGGAAAGCACGTAGGTAGGGGCGGTGCGTCTTGTACATAGCAACCTTACAACAAATTTTTTTAACAACGTAAACTACGCTGCAGGCCTATTTTCAAGATGCACGGTCGTCAGATAGAAGATGATTGAACGTGACGTTGTGGACTATAACGAGGTGATGAGGCATCAAAAACGTTTAAATATAACGTACTCCACCTTTTTACGTAGTCGACTTATCAGATGTTAGTGATAACGAAGTATGTTACTTACGTAGTTAGGCATCTCGTGCGTGTCTTGGCTTCTGTGGTGGTAGTTTAAAACAACCACTGTCATGACGACAGAAAACGCTACCATGATCATGATGCAAGCGAAGTAGGTACCTGTTAAATATATTAGAAAAAGCTATGGTTTTCATACCATTTTTATATTAGTTCACGAGGAGACAAAACGCCATCTTTTTTCAAATTTTCTGTTACATGTATTAGGATAAACTTAGATTATATTAACCCACGAGTACATGAAACCCATTTTTTCCTTCTTTTCTGTTACATATATTAGGATAAACTTAGATTGATATTAACCCACGAGTACATGAAACCATTTTTTCCTTCTTTTCTGTTACATATATTAGGATAAACTTAGATTATATTAACACGAGTACATGAAACCCATTTTTTCCTTCTTTTCTGTTACATATATTAGGATAAACTTAGATTGATATTAACCTACGAGTACATGAACACATTTTCCCTCTTTTCTGTTACATATACTAGAATAAACTTGGACTATGAGTACATGAAACCGAAATTTTTCTTTTACATATATTAGGAAAAAGCTTTGGTTATTAGCATATTTGTATACTAGTCAAGGTGGACGAAAACCCATCAGGTAAAGATTTGGTAATTATGATATTTATTAGTTCAGGGTTACCCCTTTTATATTAAATATATCAGGATAAGTTTTGGTTTTTAGGATATTTGATATTAATCAGTGTGTAGACGAAAACCCATCTTTTTCTCGTTTTTGACATAATGTTGCAGATTGTCTGATTGATAAAACACAAGATGCAACTTAAAAAGACATACCTACTATAGAGACAGCGTCTGATGTAGGTGGCATTGTTTCAGCCAGTTGCAGGAGAAAGACCATAAGGGACAGTAGTATTGTTACTCCTGTAATGAAATTAGGTAAAATCAAACTTCTTTGAAGGATACATAATATCAAATGATGTAATATGATGGATGGAGTAAAAAAAAGGCTTAATGGAAAGTAATGGATCAAATTAAAAGTAATTAAGAAATTGCTTTTTACTGAAGACGTATTAACGTTAAGTGGAGCAGCCAATCGGTGATATATAACTAAAATGAGCAGCCAATCAGTGATCTATAAATAAAAGGAGCAGCCAATCGATGATCTGTAACTAAAAGTAGCAGCCAATCAGTGATCTATAAATAAAAGGAGCAACCAATCGGTGATATATAACTAAAAGTAGCAGCCAATCAGTGATCTATAAATAAAAGGAGCAACCAATCGGTGATATATAACTAAAAATATAAGTATAATACGACAACGTCAAACTTAGTATCTTGGAGTATAATTGAGCTTCTAAAAACCTTATATTTCAATAGGTAATTCATTGTCCTCCAAGAAAACCCGATTTTATAACTACATCCACTTAACCTTTTCTTATTTCCTGTAACAAGTCTTTAATCTACTTTTTTTAAATCAACCTCGGTCTACCTTACTAACTTTCTTCTCGTGGAATATTTCGTCAGTTGATTTCAAAATATTGCTTTAGCCCTTGTAAGTTGTTATGTACTGATTCATGACAGTAAATATTATTTGTAGTTGAACGTAGACCAATAAAATAAAAATGATACCAAAGATAAAAAAAATGACGATAAGAAGAAAGTTTCGCTTATCCTGCGGTAATAAGATGGGCTACATGTGGGCAACAGTTTGGAACTCATTACGAGGAGACACGTCATGTTATTGATAAGACAATAAAAACGACTAGCATGTACAGATTAGAATCTGATACTGTAACCTATAATCGTCTTCTGCCGTTATTTTATAAGTTTTCTATAAAAATATATGAAAAAACTCAATAACAAGTGCTTTGGAATGTTGCAAAAACCAGAGAAATCATGAGTCACTAAGCAACTCGCAAGGGGGCGTTCCTTATTTTTACCACTGATCGCGTGTTGGAAATGTGTATATAAGAAAGAAACGGGACAATATTTGCTGGAAGAACTACGGAATCTATATTATACCTTTCGTTTTCTTATTATTTTATATTTCTTTTCATTATACCTCAATTATTAAAAGTATTTCTTATTTTCGGGCAGTGTTTTATTTGATGTTACCAATACTACACCGAATAACGAATGCCAAAATAAATGTATACAATACCCGGTATTAGTTATTTTATTTGTTTCTTCTTAAGCACAAAGCTGCACAACGGGCTATTTGTGCTAAGCCTAACACCAGTATATAAATACGGTTTTTAGCGTTATGAGCCTTCAGACTTACGGCTTTGCCACTGGTGCCTTTTATGAGTATTAATGGATATTATATATGACAAACAACGTCTAGATTTTGCCTTTCTTACACCAGACTTGAGAGCATTTGATAGACAAAACTCCTAGAAAAAAAAGAAAAGAAAATATTTTGGCTTGTTATTCTTTCAGTGAATTTTATACTTACAAAACAAAGTCTTTAGGTAAAGTAGTCTCTTCAGCTCACGTGCTTTAGAAAACTTACTAAAACTTGAATACTTACCCTACTTTTAAATCTAATCTACAATGCTGAAACCTACGTCATTGTATTTGAAGTGTAGTGAACAGGTTTCTTGCGCGAAGACCTACCTAAAGTGAGTTTTTCTCCAGAGTCGGGAGGAAGAGTGAACCCTAGAAGAGCCATTGACGAAATGAGCACGCAAGGAATGATTAAGTTGAATCCGTAGTAAAGAGTTCGTCGACGAATGTGGATGTAAAACGTAATATCGACGTATGGCTCCGGACAGCAAGCGTAGTATATAACATTCCTTTTACCAGTCACGCCTAGAATAAAATAAAGTCAAGAAATGTGTTTGTTCTAAAAAATTCATTTCAGCATAATAGAGAAATAGCTTTGGAAAGCCATAAACAAGCAAGAATAGTGTGAAACAGAGGGAAAGAGACCAAGCCAGAAACAAGCAAGAATACTGTGAAACAGAGGGAAAGAGACCAAGCCAGAAACAAGCAAGAATACTGTGAAACACAGGGAATGAGACCAAGCCATAAACAAGCAAGAGTAGTGTGAAACAGAGGGAAAGAGACCAAGCCAGAAACAAGCAAGAATACTGTGAAACAGAGGGAAAGAGACCAAGCCAGAAACAAGCAAGAATACTGTGAAACACAGGGAATGAGACCAAGCCAGAAACAAGCAAGACTACTGTGAAACACAGGGAAGGAGACCAAGCCAGAAACAAGCAAGAATGCTGTGAAACAGGGAAAGAGACCAAGCCAGAAACAAGCAAGAATACTGTGAAACAGAGGGAAAGAGACCAAGAAAAATGATAGAATGTAAAAAATGAGAATACAAAAAGAAGGGGAAAAAAAAGAAGTAAATGGTGAAGGAGAAACAACAACAATGCTACAATAAGATCAAATATTCTGATCATAGTCTAATCTGGATGGTTTTTCTTATAATCCTCCTTTATCGAGAAAATCCACATTAGAAATAGAAGAGGGAAGAAAAGAAGGCAAGACTGAAAATAATTTTGAAACGATTAAGTAACGAATAAAATATTTAAAATGAAATTATTATTGAGAATTAGACAAATAATTGAGTAAAAACTTTGAAATATTGCATCAAATAATTTCAATGTTTATAAAATAAACAATTTACTATCCACTTTATTACACGGAAGGAGTAGTGTAGTTAACAATCTATAATTTGTTTTCGTGTAATAAATACCCAGTGTTGCAACAAACAGTACGGCGATTTACCTGTAATTTCACAATGCAATGCCGCATTGGGTCGGCTTATGGGTGGAATAATTGGTCACAGCCTTTTCTGAGTCGTATAACGAAATAACAGGCATTTATTTTCTGGAGCACACCGCATTCAAAGACATCTATCTACCTGTGACATAGTGAAGAACACCAGCTAAAAAAAGTCATACGAAGATATAAAACATATCTAATACTACTAACACCACTGCCGAGTGGTCATACACGAACACGAACTCTTCACCAGAAAAGTTGCTACTAAATAATTACACACGTTCTAATGAACTGTGTGCAAGATAACTTACAAAGACTAAGTTATAAAGAGAGAGAAAAAATAAAACAAAAACACTGTTTGTTCTAACACTAGGTACTAATTTTAAAAAATCGTTTAGTTTAACAAGATCAGCTAATTTTAAAAATCGTTTAATTTAACAAGATCAGCTAATTTTAAAAGATCGTTTAATTTAACAAGATCAGCTAATTTTAAAAATCGTTTGATTTAACAAGATCAGCTAATTTTATATTATTACAAATATATATACATGGAGAGTTAATATATCTTTATAAGGACGGTTTGCACGTGCTAATTCAGTAGTGCGTTATGAGCTGTGGTCCCTGATCTTGTTAAATTAAACGATCTTTTAAAATTAGCTGATCTTGTTAAACTAAACGATTTTTTAAAATTAGCTGATCTTGTTAAATTAAACGAGCTTTTTAAAATTAGCTGATCTTGTTAAATTGAACGATCTTTAAAATTAGTTGATCTTGTTAATTAATAGGTCTTTCACTTTAATGGATCACATTATAAACAAACTAAAGGGGTTACCATGAGAACAAAAATGGGTCTTCCTTCTGCCAAACTTGTTGTTGACTATTTGGAGAGCAGATGTTTGAATTTGTTTGATATACACGACTGTTTCGGTATAAGTTTAACGCGAGTGTTATGATTTAGATAGTTTATACAGCGAGAATGTTAAATTTAGTTATTTTAGAAGCGATAGTTTATTGCAGGTTTGTTTACATAACTGTTTACGAATTATACGTTGTGTAATTCAGTGGTTATGAATTGGTAATGGCTATATTATTGCGTCATGTTACTAGAACCTATTACATCAAACATTTTAATGTTCACTTCAACAACTCTACCACATCAAACATTTTAATGTTCTCCTCAACAACTCTACCACATCAAACAGCTTAATGTTCACTTCAACAACTCTACCACATCAAACATTTTAATGTTCTCCTCAACAACTCTACCACATCAAACAGCTTAATGTTCTTCTCAACAACTCTACCACGTCAAACATTTTAATGTTCTCTTCAACAACTCTACCACATCAAACATCTTAATGTTCTCCCCAACAACTCTACCACATCAAACATCTTATTGTTCTCCTCAATGAACCTATCACATCAAATATTTTAATGCTCACTTCAACAACTTTACCACATTAAACATCTTAATGTTCTCCTCAACAACTTTACCACATCAAACATCTTAATGTTCTCCTCAACAACTCTACCACATCAAACATCTTATTGTTCTCCTCAATATC